GTGTGTACATGTATGTGTGTGCATGCACATTTGCATGCTAAGGGGTGAACAGCAGTCAACACAGCCTCTGTGGTATGCACAACAGGAGCTTGCTGAGACACAAGGTGGGATAATCTACTCTAGAAACACCATCTTGTAACTGTATTTATTTGGGCTCAGTTTTGTCTAGGCCATTAGTTCTCAACCTGTGAGTTGTGACCCCTTTGGGGGATGGACTGACCCCTTTCACAGGGTCACCTAAGATCATCAAAAAAAAAAAACACCCAGACATTTACATTGTATCTGTAGCAAAATTACAGTTATGAAGTAGCAACAAAAATGATTTTATGGTCACCACACCATGGGAAGTTGAGAACCACTGCTTTAGTCCAACAGTTGCCTCAGTTTACATCTTGAATTTCTACCAGGACACAGGTACATCCTTGGAGGCAATTAAGGCAAACTCTAGATTAAATGACTAACTAATGAAATAGTATGGTCTAATCTACCGTGAATGAACAGTCAAGTGTGGGTTTTTTTAAGTTTTCCTTCCCTTTGAGACGGGTCCTTGCTCATAGCCCAGGCTGCCTTCAAACTTGCAATCCTCTTGCCTTGGCCTCCTGACTGTTGGGATTACAGGGGTGCAATCGCACCACCTTCTCTTTGTAATAATGAGAATAAAAAGACTCTTACTATCACCAGTCTCTCTCTTACCCAGCCTGTGGTCAGTTTACACTTTCCAATATTCTGTTGTCAGTTTTCGACACAGCCTTCATTCTCAAGGTTTAGTTGCTTCCAAGAGACGCATCAGTTGCCTACTATGTAAGCCAACAAGGATCTTTTGAAATCTTGGATTTTCGAGAAGGCAGGTAGTTCCTGTCTGGGTAAATTGCTTTTCAAAGGTCTCTCTTGGCATCAGAATGAGGCAAAGGTGCTCAGTTCTCAGTTTTGATGGTAAGGATGTCCTCTCTGCTTGCTGATAAGAAATTATTTCTAGGAGCACTAGATGTGTGAGATCGTCTTTTCTGTCTCAGCTCCTTACGACATGTTTCTTCGGAATGGTCCCAGACACGCATTCTACTTTAGAGATTACCTCAGCCCTGGAACTTTTTTCTGGATCAGGACCCGGGGCCAGGTTGGAGTTGAGAATGACATTAGTAATACTGATACAATGAATAATAATTAATATTGTATATCAGTTGGGCACTATCAGGCTCAGTTTGTTGAGACTAGGAAACAATAAATTAAAATTGAAGCGACAATGTATCTGTCTGTCAGGGTCCTTATAATCCCACATGGTTAACATTGCCCAGAATGAATGTGGAACTCTGAGCCCAATTCTTAGTTCCCAGAATTTAGAGACATATTACTAACCAAATATGTCCAGCTGGGGGAGTGTGGATGAGTTGCATGGAGATCATGATGCAGGAGAATGACTGAAAGGGGTTCCGAGGAGGCAGTTCCGGAGAGAAGCAACAGCAGATGGGGGAAGATGGGCATCAATGAAGCCAGTACTAATCTCCATGAAGGCAACTCTCAGGTTTTGTTTCAGCCTCCTCCTGCCTTCGTGACCTCTCTTTGACACAACACAACTTGCTTGCTTCATTGATCCTTGTGTTTGTTTGTTTTTCTTTTTTAAAGAGACAATCTAATGTAGCCCCGCCCCAGTCTCACTATGTGTCTGAAGATGCCTTGGAAGCCCTGAGCCACCTACTTCCACCTCCTGAGCACAGGGTTCACAGAAGTGTGCCACCATACCCAGCACACTGATATCCTTTGCACAAGCACAAAAGATGATAAAATTGAATTAACAGTGCAAGACACTTATCTGTGCCAATACTGAGGCAGGAATGAGAACTAAGCCGGAATGGGCATGCTCAGTCACTGGGAGCAGGGACCTCTCTGCACAGCTGCTATGATGGATCCCAAAAGCCTAGAGGCTGGAGGCTGTGAGCTAGGTATTCCTCTAATGAAGCCCTGAAAAGTCCACGGCAATGGCTGCCCCATGCTACTTCAGGCCACACCTACAGGAATCCCCCACCCTCTGCTTCCTGTCTTTCTTAAGAGAATTCTCTGAGGTTCTCTAGGGACCCATTTTCTGCCCATACTGTACATTTTTTTACTATGAGAAACCATCACAATTTGAGAGGCTCTCTTTGGGATGTGGATACAGCACACATTAATTCAGCCATCATGTTCCTGAACCTGGCCTCCTGCAGTGATCTAATCCTTACCACGTCGTATATCTGCTCTTGCCATCTGCCTCCCAGTTCACTCTTCAATCCCGGATGGGCACAAACAAAATCATCTATAGCTCTGTTGAAACCGTTAATAGTTCTTCTCATTCTCAGAAAACCCAAATTATATTTCATGACTCACAGTTCTCCATTTTTACTCTATTTTCTTTACTTCTGACCTAAGTTCTTGGATTATGAGCCTGAGCCATCCCGCTTTATGTGGTGAGGAAGACTTAAGCCGGGGCTCTGTGGTAGGCAAGCATTTTACCAGCTTCACGATACAGTCCCTGCCTTTGTCTGCTCCTGTTTACCTCATCTGCAACTCGAACTGAACAACTTTGGGCTCTTTGGCTGTGGTCTTTCCATTAGCTTTCCAGTACTATAACAGAATACCCAAGGCAGGATAACTTTATAAAGGAAATATTGATTTAGCTCAGCACTGGCTCTGGTGAGGTCCACATGGCAGATGGTAAGAATATGGGTAGGAAGAAGTAATCAACAGTTCAAAATAGGAAGCCAGATAATAAAACATATGTGACTTGAAAGCAAAACAGGGGCTATCTCACAAGGGGGAGGAAGGGGGACCAGGAGTGGGCAATGTAGCAGTGGAGAGAATTTGGGGACAAGGATCATTGAAAACAAAGTGTGTATAAAACGCCATAATGAAAGCTATTGCTTTATATGCTAATTCAAAACAGTTTGAAGGAAAGGAAAGAAATGTATTTTTGCCACACAGGTGTTACCTACCTGTATTCCCAACACCCAGGAAGCAGAAACAGGAAGATCAAGAATTTGAACCAGCCTGTCTTACACAAAGAGCCCTTGTCATCTACAAACAGATAAATGAAAACATCCTTTAAGATAGTACTTATAACAAGCTGTCTACCAAATATACCAACTATATAAAAAAAAAAAAACTGTCTCCTCTGGAAGCGGTTCTCAACCTTCCTAGTGCTGTGACCCTTTAATACAGTTCCTCATATTGTGGCGACCCCATCATACAATTGTTTTCATTGCTACTTCCTAACTGTAATTTTTCTGTTATGAATTGTAATGTAAATATCTGACATGTGACAGCCGTGAAAGGGCCATTTGAACGCCAATGGGTCATGGCCCGCGTGTTGGGAACCAGTGAGTTAAAGGCCTTGTACTAGGCCCCAGCTCTTCTACTGAGTCCGTCCCTGCTCACACGACTCTTCTCCGTGAGCACAGCTCTAACATAAGGATCTCTGGGGGAACAAACCACTCCTAAGCCATAGCACTCCAGAGGACCACTGTCTTAGTGAGGCTTTTATTATTGCTGTGAAGTACGACCAGGGCAACTCTTGTAAAGAAAACGTTTAATTGAGGAGGTAGCTTACAGCTTCAGAGGTTCAGTCCATTATCATCACGAAGGGGAGCATGGCGGCTTGCAGGCAAATGTGGTGCTGCCTACATCTTGACCAGAAGGCAACAGGAAGTCGACTGATACTGTCACACTTAGTGAAGCTTGAGAAAAGGGACCTCAAAGCCCACCTCCACAGCGACATACTTCCTCCAGAAAGACCATACCCACTTCAATAAGGTCACACCTCCTAATAGTCTCACTCCCTTTGGGGGCCATTTTATTTCAAATCACCACAACCACTATCTGCATGGGGCTAATTCTTTGTCTTTTAAGTACCAGCTTAGCTATTCCTCCCTCTCTGAAGACTGCTGTAACTTGCAAAGACTGGATTCAGGGCTCTCCTCTGTGACTTCAGGAACCATGCGATAAAGGGCAGGTGAAATCTTGGAAATAAATTCACAAGTAGCACAGAAACATTAACCTGGGTGGTAAATATTGGAAATATAATAAGGGACAATATCTTGCATTATCAGAATTTTCTCAGGGAACATATGGTAGGAGATAGAAAACTGCTGCTCAGTGGTTTGCTGGGGGTGATATCCTCCCAAGAGAAACAAGAGATAAGCATTCTCAATGCAGATACAAGCACTCCAGTCAAGCCCTAGGTATTTGGACATAGGTCTGAGTGTGATGTCATATGCCTGCCAGCAGTACTGACTGTGGGATGCAGAGATATTCTAATACATGGGGACTGTCCCACACAGGGAAACTGTTCCACCCCAAATGCTAACAAAAGCTTCTTTGAGGTCCACTGGGTTAGGAGATGTGTAAATCTGGGAGTTGAATTGCTTAGAACAACAAACACAGCAAAGGCTGAGAAGCAATCCTGAAGACTCCAAGCTCCACCCCTCCACCCTCTGCAGGGTTCTGCCTCACCTGCCAATAAATGCTTTTAAACATTTTTATTTCGTTTTGTTTTTTTTTGGGGGGGGGGGTCTTACTTCCCTAGGCAGGCCCAAAACTATACAGTCCAAGTTGGCTTCGAACTTGTGGGTGACTTTCTGCCTCAGCCTTCCTGTGTGTTGGGATTACACACGTGAACCACCATGCCCAGTCTAATAATTTTTTCAATGTTACTAACACAAAGCTGCATGCATACTAAGCAACTGTTCGATCACTGAGCCACTCTCTAAACCCTGTAAATAAATATTAAGTACGATGCTTTAAGGAAAAAAATTTAAAAATGTGTTAGATTGAAAAAGAACTATGTTATGCCCAAGAGGCATCTAGTGCCTCCTTCTGGCTCTGCTGCCCTGCAGCTGTTTCACTGCAAGGTGACAATGTGTCCACATTCCCTATTGAAATGCAGGGCCCATGTCCTGTGGGCACTCTGTAGGCTTCTAATGTTCAGTAAGTCTTTCTAAATGACTCCCCGTTTGCTCTGAGGTCTTTTCTAGGTATCAGACCTACACAGTTCTCGCTCATCACTTCCTGAGCACCTCCAACTCAATACGAACACAGTCATCCAATTTGATGCTGGAGCCCTCCCCCAAATATCACCAGTTTCCCTTGTCACAGAAAGTGCAGGTACCACACTTCCTCATGGCTCAGGCCAGAGGCCTGCATTCTACCCAACTTCTGTCTATGCTCTCCCCTTCCCAAGCCTATGAATTCTAGTTTCCAATTCTCCCTCCGGTTCTTCGATATCTCTCTGGCCAGGACTTAATTCAGGGTCTCTGGTATGTGCTATAATCAGTTCCTAAATTACATCTCTAACACTATCCTCATTGCTCTCACCCTTCACTGTTTTTCATTCATTCATTCATTCACTCACTTTTGAGACCGATCCTGTTAATTATACAGCTCAGTCTCACCACACAGCTTCCTGCTTCTGCCTCCTGAGTACTGGGATTATGGGCACCACACCCTGCTGTCACCCTTTAATAATTTTTATTTTGTAGGTCACTTTAAAAAGTATTTTATGGACTAGAGAGGAGATAAGTTGTTCAGCAATTCAGAGCACTGGCTGATCTCCCAAAGGACCCAAGTTCAAGTCTAGTACCCAAATGTTGGCTCACAACTGCTGTAACTCCAGTCCCAGGGGACCTAACACCCCCTTCTGTCCTCCTTGGTGCACAGACATACATGCAGACAAAATCCACATAAAATTTAAGAAAAATATTTTATTAATTCTGAGAATTCCATCTATGCAGACTGTATGTTGGTTATATTTATTCCCCACTCATCCCTGACCCACCCGCTCCCAACATCAAGTCTTTTTTTTTTTTTCTTAGTGGTTTAATCTCCGTGTGGAGCCACCCACTGGAGCATAGTCCATCCACCATCAGCATCCATACTCTTAAGGAGAACTGACACTTCCTCTCCTGGAAGCTTCCAGCTGTCAATAGCCCTGCAGCTGGGGATGGAAACCCCCATCCCCACTTCATGCTAAACCGTTTCGATTGTTTTGCGGGTTCTGTACAGGCAACCAGACACCATCAGTTCAGGGAAGCAATCACGTCTGGAAGAGACTGCTTTGCTCTGGTACTCCCCAACCTCGGGCTTTTATAAACTTTCTTGCCCTTCTTTGGAGAAGTCTCTGAGCCTTGAGGAAAGGGATGCGCTGAATGCCCCACTTGGGGTCAGGAGCAAGCCATAAACACCCATTCTCTGCACTTTGACCAGGTGTCAATTTCCGTGTTAACCACAGTCCACCCCACAGAGAAACCTCCCTGCCGAGTGTGAGAGCTCCACTGATCTACGAGACAAGAGATAGGAACTCAAGAGGGCAATTTGATACTCCTTCTGTGATGTAGTATTGTCATCTGTTTGTGTTGATTTCATTGGTTAATAAAGAAACTGCCTTGGCCCATTTGATAGGCCAGCCCTTAGGTGGGTGGAGTAGACAGAACAGAATGCTGGGAAGAAGGGAAGTGGGTCAGACACAATGAAGCTCGGACCCAAGATGGACGTAGGCTAGAATCTTCCTGGTAAGTCACCACCTCATGGTGCCACACATATTAATAGAAATGGGTTAATCAAGATGTGAGAGCCAGTAAGAGGCTAGAGCTAATGGGCCAAGCAGTGTTTAAATGAATACAGTTTGTGTGTTGTTATTTCAGGGTAAAATGCTAGCGTTCGAGAGCCGGGCGGGGAAAAGCAGGCCTGCCAGCTGCTCCTTCTACACTTCGTTTAACAAAATAATAGTAGTAGATTTACCTCTGTGAGATCACAGCAATGGATGCGGGGCCATATGTCAGTGCTAGGTATGTGCTTGTTTGTGGAGCAGGTTTCAAATCCAATGAGAACACATTTGGTGTCCCCAGCACATTCACGTCACCATAGCACCATGTTATCAGTTGTTATTCTGGCTTAGAGTTCACAGCCGGGCACCCCTAATGACTCTCCCTCCTTCCCCATTCCTCAGCAGCCTGCACAGCACCGCCCAGAGCTATGACCACTAGCCAGCAGGGAGGACAACCTCACAGTCAGCATCAACTTGGTTTCTCTATATTTTGTGACTAACGTATGTAGTGTCTTGAGCAACAGAGTCCTACCATGAAGTTCTGGTGGGAAGACATCCTCACATAGGCCTAAGACAAAGGTAATTAACACTTTGTGGGCTGACTGTAGTGCTAGACACCACTAGTTTTATGTTTATTTTCTCTTTGATACTCCCTAACCGCCTTAGTAGGAAGTAATTTCCCGAGGTCCTCCAGGAAAGGAGACAGAGACAAGATCCAAAGGCAGTAGCCTGACTCAAAGCAGAGCTAGGCTGTATCTCCTGGACTTGTCCACTGCCACATAAGCCTGTGAGAAGCTCACATGTTACAAGCCTCTTCATAAACCGGCTCTTTTTCTTAAAAACAAAAACCTTTCCAGCTGGTCTGTGATAATCATTTCAAAAAAATGATTTCAAAAAATTCTTTCAAAATAAATTCAATATATTTATGTATGAATTTTATACATACATACATACATATATGTTCACATCATGCACTGTTGATATACTCATTTATGGCTAATTATATTTCATGAAGACTTAAAATGTTTTTTTGTCTTTAATTTTTATAGAAAATAAGCTGGTGCTGTTAGTTAGTTGAGGGCTTGCACAGCATGTCAAAGCCCTGGCTTCATTCCCAAATGCCACATGAAATTGGCTAATATCGGACAAATTTATAATTCCAGCACTTGAGATGGAGGCAGGATGATTAAAAGTTCAAGGTTATTCTCAGCCACAGAGTGTGAGGCCAACCTGATTACATGGTACCCTACCTCAAAAAGAAAAATTCACAAAAGCAATCAGACTTTTTAGACTTGTTGCCCCTTTCTCTTCCTATCCCCACCTCTTAAACATACACAATTAGGCTGGAGAGATGGCTCAGTAGATAAGAGCACATAATTGTTGTCTTCTAGGGAACCTAAGTTTGGATCCTATACTCCATATCATGTGGTCCACAACTGCCTGTAACCATAGTTCCACTGCAATCTAGCACCCTCTTCTGGCCTACCAAGGCATCTGCACTCATGTGCTCATACACACACACACACACACACACACACACACACACACACCACAGTTACTTGTGGTTGTCATATTATTTCACATCTATATCTATGTTGATTTTTCTTCTCAGTGTGTAGCTTGGTTGTAGTCTTTGAAAATAATTTAAATATGTATAACTGTGTATGGTATGTTCACATGAGTGCATTAAGTCTTCTAGAGCCAGAGATAGATGTGTTTGTGAGCCACCCTCTGTGGGTGCTGGGAGCAGAACTAGAACCCCCTGGAAGACAGTATGTGCTGTTGACCCCTGAGACAGCTCTCCAGCCTCTGCAATCTTTCTTTGATCTAAGCCTTGCTGGGTATTTCTTTTGCAGTCACTAGTGTACCTAAATGTGAGTGGCAGTTATGTTAATTTGGGAGGGCTAAAATCAGTAAGTCACAAAAGTAGACTAGTAAAAATGGGAGCTAGTACAGTGATCATGGAGTTTCTAAGGCAGGATCCCAGGAGGGCTTGGCTAACAGAGGGTGGTCTGGATACGCTGGCAATGAGGGCTGCTGCCCAGCCTAGGCTTTTCACTTAGCTCTGCTGTGTAGTGCTTACGGAGGGTGCTTTAAGAGCTCCTGGAGAATACCATCTCCCCTCCTTTGCCTGACTACCCTCAACTCTCTAAACATCAATTTAGCACCATCCCCAATCTTCAATGTGTACTAATATGGTTCCCCTCTGCTTCTATGCTCCTGTTTTGTTTTTCTTTAGCTATATACTTTATGTTGAGCATACAGTGCCCTATTACCTCCACCTTCCCCTTTCTTGGCTCTCCCCCTTCCTGCTAATCTTCTCTTTTCCCCTAAACAATCTCACTTCCACTTTCATTTAATATATACACACATGATTTCATGTGAATATATATATATATATATGAACTACAAATGAGAGAAAACATACTGTCTTTCTGAGATTGGCTTTGTGTCTCCAGCTGCATCCCATTTCTCACAAATGACATAACTTCAGTCTTCTTCATGGCCTAAAAAATTCCATTGTGTGTGTGTGTGTGTGTGTGTGTGTATACATTTATATACATATATATATATTAATGTGACATATATATATATCACATTTTTCTTGGCCATTTCTCTCTTGATGAGCACCTAGGTTGGTTCCATAGCTGAACTACTGTGAATTGTGCTGTGACAAACATTGATGGGTAGCCATCTCTGTAATCATGCTGATGTGGAGTCTATGAGTAAATACCCACGAGGGGGATAGCTGGGCCAGATGGTAGATCGACTTCTAGTTTCTTGAGAACGCTCCATACCAATTTTCACAGAGACTGGACTAGTTTATATTCCCACCAGCACGTAAGGGCTCCCTTCAGCGCACATTCACATTGTTTTCTTTCCAACTGACTTCTGACTGGGGTAAGATGGAATCTCTGTGCAGTTTGGACTTGGGTTTCTCTAATGATTGGTGAAGATGGGCTCTTTTTCATATGTTTATATTAGTCACCTGCTCATTTCTTAGGTCCATTTATTGATTGGGTTGTGATGCTACAAACTGCTGGATGGCAGGTGCTCTGACCCTTCTTTTCTGGGTTCTCTTATGACCAGAATCAAGTGTTCATTGGTTAAGTCCATTGCAAATCAATTTAACTTAAAGGGAGAAAAAAAAGGCATCACACAAATGCTGTATGTATCATTGTAAGTAAAAAAGGAATATGGCAGGATATGGAATATAAACAGAACAGATGGTTGGCTAAGAATCTAGTCTTTACTAGTAAGCTGCTTCTGTTAAAAACCGAGACTTCAATGTGACCTTGAGTAGTTTAATCAGACAGTGGTGCCATAAAAACAAGATAATAGACCTATGCTATCAGGTTGCTGCATGAATTAAATAAGATAATACATAGGAAAAGTTCTTGTCTCCTTGTAAGCACTTGGTACTGGAAGACACTACCATCTTCTCCGTGCCATTATGAACTTTCACTGGCAGTATTTATCTAAAGATAAGGTGCACACCTTTCCACGGCAGCGAGGCTCCTTTCACAGGAAGTGTTCAAGCAACAGTAAAACCCAGTGAAACAGTGAAACCCAGATGCCTCCTAAGGATGTTTCTAATCATAGACGAGGGAAGCCATTTCTCTCATTCAAAGCAAATGTGTGGTCATTGGTGTCACTTCTAGCAAAGGAGAGGCTTGTTAGATGGGGGAGGGCAAAGTCTTTTTAATCCTTGTGAGCAGTTAATTACAAAAGACCTTTTTATTTATGGCCTAACCCATATGGCAAATCGGGACCTTACATGAAAAATCTTTCTGCAAAAAGGAGAAGTTAAGTCCTGCAATAGTGGTGCAAACACAGCTCTAAAGCCTGCTCCAACCCTGCTGAAATGTCTTTTCCCTTTGAAAGAGGTCTATTAGGGATGCAAACACTCGGTTATCTGCACAGATGATAATCCCAGCAAACAAAACAGTGAAACCATTAGAACTTTCTGGTACAAGCAATTCAGCCCTGGAAACTTGGCTTTTTAAACAGGAACAGGGCAGAGAAAGCGAGCAGAGCTGGTCCCAATTTGGGATACTTAAATTTGCTTATCTGAGTCCCCAGCCAATTATCTGCATGTTTGGCCTAACGAAGACAATCAGTTCTCCACCCACAGCACACACAGAGAAGGCAGGCCTGCGCCTCGGCCCCTGCTACTGCCTTCAATGGGCAAAAAGAAACAGGGAAAAACCAACAGGCATGGTTGGGAGTAGCTCAAGCCAGCACAGCCTTAGAGTCTATCCTGAATTAATCCCACGACGTGCACCTCAGGGGCAGAAATGTAAGCAATATTGTTACTACATTCGAATGCTTTAGAATAACTAAAGATCATACAACTGGAAGCCTGTTTACGTGGCACAGAGAGGATCATTTCCCCAACATCTTTTAGTCGATAGATACTCAAGTAAATACCACATACACACACTCTGTAGTCAAGGCTGGCGTTGCAGTGATGCTCCTGCCTCAGCTTCCCAAGTGCTGGGATGGCAGGTGTGCATCACCACACCCGGTTTGGAGTAAACAATTTGAGAATTTAGTAAATATGTAATTATACTGTCTACTTATAAAAAAAAATCAATATGAAGCAGATATCTGTTAAGCAGACTGTTCAGCTATTCCTTAACAGGTTTGAGAAGATGTAGTTTCTGAGAAGCCACTAGGTATTAGGGAACATTAGTTCTCAGGAGGTGTGGTGCCTACGGAGATTAGGAAAGCCTTTTTGAAGAAAAAATAGAACGTTATAACGCCTGAGTGGTCATGAGCGACTTGGTTACAACAGTTATTTTATTGAGAACCCAGCATGACCCTTCCATTGCCTAAGTCCTTTCTTAGATAGCTTTTAGCAGTCAGAGACGGAATCCACGGAATCCACGGAATCCACAACGTCTGGCAGTTCCCTGGCTTATCAGGATCTTAAACTGGGTGGAGCGCTAGGCAGGTAAGGTAGAGGCTACGGAGCTTCGGGACGGTCACGTGTTTACATTTCAGGTGTGGGACTAGGTCCAGTCCAGGCCCCACCCTCTGCAACCTCCAGCTCGGAGGGTTGCAGGACGTCGTGCACAGTCCCCGCCCCGGGCTTTGATAATCCAACCCTCTCCCCGGACAGAGGTCAATCACCGCTTAGGTTCTGCCTTGCTTCCCACTCCCCCTACGCCCTCCCACGCCGTACTCCCCCGGCTCTGTCTTGGTCCTCTCTGCATCCCTGTCAAGCCAACCCCAAGAACCAAAGTGTCACTGCCCTCACTTTTCTGATTGGGACCCCTTCCCTCCACACCTAGGAGGAAGGATCTGGGTTCTCGGTAGTAGCCCTTGAGTATCTGCTCCTAAAAGGTTGGGGATACCGTCTCGCACACTGTACCTACTACTACCTGCTCAGGGCTGGGGCTACAGGCAGAGCGTCTAACTTTGTTCCAGGGAGTCTGGCGCGTCCTGAACCTCCCGACGGGCGCGCATGCCGGGAGCGCGCAGGGCCCGCCGGGAGCGCGCAGCGTCCGGGATGGCGGCTGCGCAGTGGCTCGCGGGCCGGGAACGGGAGGGCGGGCGGAGCGGCGGGCGGAAGCCATGTTGCAGCTGCACCCCGAGCGAGGGGCTGCGGGCGCGCTCCTCTCCTGGTGGGTGTGACCCGGCTCCGCGCGGCGGCGGGGGGCGGGGACGCCGGGCGGCTCGTCGTGGTCGGCGGCGGCCGCGGCGTGCAGCCGGGCGATTGTGACCGGCGGCAGAGCCGGGCCGGCCGCGGGCGCTCCCTCCGTGCGGCCCCCCTGAGCGCCCCCCCTCCCCGGGCCGGGAGGGAGGCGGGGGGCACCCGGGGCCCGCCATGAACCCCGGCTTCGACCTGTCCCGCCGGAACCCTCAGGAGGACTTCGAGCTGATCCAGCGCATCGGCAGCGGCACCTACGGCGACGTCTACAAGGTGAGGGCAGGGGCCGCCGAGCCCGGGCCTGCGCCGCCGGGACGGAACAAAGGACCAGGCGTGGGATCGCAGCCCTCGGCGGGCGTCCTCACCGGAGCCCTGCCCGGGACGCGTTCTCTGACCCCAGCCTCTCCGGCGCGCTGGAGCCGCGGCGCTCCCGGGAGTGCAGAGGCCGGCCTTGCGCTTGTTGCCTGGGCAGGGGCTGTGTGACGAACCGGGTTGCTTGGGGCTTTGGCGTTTGTCAAAGCTGCGTGCCTCTCCGGGACCTGCGATCCCCGGCCGGTGCCTGGGAGCTGCTGCCCGCTCGGGCCTGCTTGCTGGTTCTCGTCTAACGCTACTACCTACCTCGGCAGCCTCCATCAACAGCCTTAACCTTTAGCCTCTTAACATCTGCCTGCGCCTTAGCCTTTAACCTTTTAACATCTGCCTGTCGGTTCCTTGTAATTTTCAAGGAGTCACTTTGTTTTGTAGAAAGAGATCTGGTTTTGAAGGCAAGAAAGCAACTCCCCCCCCCCCCCCCCCCAAAAGAATTGGACAGTGGTGTTTGTTTTTGTCAGTGGCACACAGGATTCGGCTTTTTCTTTTTCGTTAATCAAGTACCTAGGGAGGGTTTGACAAGGTTAGAATTCAAGATTCATTAGCAGTACAGCGTTTCTGTTGCAAAGGGACCACTTCTAAATGTGGGAAGATAAATCACTCTTCCCAGGCCAGCTCAACTCCCGGCCTCTTGGAGTCTGCCAAGAAGGGAGGTGTATGGTGCCAACTGTGGCAGCAGTCTTGATTTAGTTGCGTATCTACTTACTGATCACTGAACTTGGACTCCTGTTCCACGGAACACCTGAGGATGCACAGAGAAACTTAGTATTACGTTGGAAAGTCAAGCCTTCAGTTTATCTTGCCCACGTTAAAGCAATAGGTTTTGTTCTTTCGGTGGACCGCGTGAGCTAAGTTAGCCAGTCCAGTGCCGCAGGTCTTTCGCGAGGGATGTGCTTGTCTCCCACGCATCACATAGACAGAGGTAGGTGTACTGAGCATAGGTACAGTACTTAGAACGTATCAGGCATATGCTGGTGAACTTGAGTTGTGGCAACTAAAGATAGGAATGAACCCAGGTTTGTTTGGAGCAACATTCAACAGCAGCCTCTGTCATTTTATGAGAGTTGTGTTTTTGATGTGGAGAGGACTGTAAATGTCCTCTCCGTGGAACAGGGGGACAGGAACTGTCGTGCACCAGTCTCTCACCGAGATCTGGAAGATGACAAGGCATTGCTCAGGGCAGTGGTGAGAAAGGAATAATGCCACATAGAGGGAGTGCCATTCAGAGGCCAGAGAAACCAGTGTGAATCTGAGAAAGAACTGTAGCCTGCGCAGCAAGGGAGGATGGCTGTGGATACTGGTTCCTATAGACCTTTTAGCTATGGGAATTAAATCAGATATGGATTTTTCCTTTTTTTTTTGTTTTTTTCTTTCTTCTTTTTTTTTGTTTTTTCGAGACGTGTGTGTGTGTGTGTGTGTGTGTGTGTGTGTGTAAGTAATATAGCTCTGGCTGTACTGGAACTTGCTTTGTAGACCAGGATGGCCTCAAACTCACAGAGATCCTCCTGCCTCTGCCTCCTGACTGCTGGGATTAAAGGTATGCACAGCCACCACCAGCAGGCCTCCTTTCTTTCTTAAAAGGGCATCCTTGGATGCCCATGGAGGCCAGGAGAGGGCATCAGATCTCTTGGAGCTGAAGTTTTGGGCAGTTGTGAGCTACCTGAGATGGGTACTGGGAACCAAATTTGAGTCCTGGAAGAACAGTGGGTGCTCTTCACTGCTGAGTCCCGTTTCTTTTCTTTCATTTCTTTTTTATTTTATTTTTCAGTGTTGGTAATCATGCTATGTATCCCAGGCTGGCCTGGAACTTAAAATCCTACAGCTTTGCCCCCTGAGTGGTAGTGGTGTAGACAGTCTTGACTCTGTCCAGTTTAGATCTGGACTTCTGGACTGAGGCTCAGGCTTGCTTGAGTTAGGTCTGCAGAACCCACAGAAAGTATGGGGAGAGTGCTATCTCCACAGATTTGTCCTCTGTGCTCCACAGGTGTTCTATGACAGGTTCATGCCACACACACACACACACACACACACACACACGCTAAAGCGAATAGTTAGACTTTAAAAAGTTCTCCATATCATGATGTGTGGAGGGAAAGGGCAGTTAGGAGACTGTTGGGATATGCTGGTAAGAATAATAGCATTTTGGAATTTGGTCTTGACTAAGAAGGCAGGAATGTGTCCAGATCTAAAGAGCGAATAACTGGGGGAGTCCAGTTATAGTAGACAAAAGGTTTAATTTTGTGCATCTTAGATGGTGACGTCTACGTAAGGGGTGTGTGTGTGTTTCAAGTTCTTGAGATGGGTCTCATGTTGCCCGAGATGACTCTGAAATTATGTAGTCAAGGGTGATCTTGTGCTGAAATTACAGACACTTATTGGTAGGTTCTTGATAGGAATAATTAGTCAGGTATTTACTATATTTAAAAACAAAACCAGCCAAACTAAAAACCTATGAAGTCACTTTGGTAACACATGCCTGTAATCTTAGCACTTGGGAAGTTGAGGCAGAATGCTGGCCACCAGTTCAGGGCCAGCCTGGGCTACAGGGTGAGCTACAAGTGAGTGTGGGTTACAAAATAAGACTGTCTCAAAAAAAAAAAACATGCATGGTGTATAAATCTACCTAGCTAAAAGGAAAAAAAGTTGAGTCTGTAATTTTTCTAAGGACACCTGAATGTAATAGAGGTATGGCAAACTGACTACTCTTGTCAGCCATTACTGATGATGCCAGCTAACATTTATGGAGTGCTTATTATCTGGCTGGCACTTTCCTCCCTAGTCCTGCAGCTACTGCAGCTGAAGAAGCAAGTGTAGATAAGGAGAGGGTTATATAACTTTGAAGTTGGTAGATGGCAGGGGTAAAAGCTGAACTGGCTGGAGACTGGACATCGCCATCAGTGGGAAGAAGCACTGTCGCTGTAAACATGGGTACGGACAGATCATGTCCTGGATTTCCAGGGAAGAAACTGAAGTGCACGTTGCCTTCACACTTTGAGCTTCCTGTGGCTCTTTGGTGACTCCTCCCTCCCGATAGGCAGCCAGACTTCCCGAGCTTGTGTGCTTCCTTGCCTACCAGTGGACATCAGATAATAGGTGCTTGATTCTTGCCTGCCAGCCTCTTTCATTACCAGGACCCAAAGAAGAGCATCTCTCTGGGGTTTGGCACTATACCTCCTGCCAGCTACACAAAGCTGGGACTTCCTTCTTTACTACAACCAAGTCATGTGGCGAAGATACACATTTTCCACATTTACTTTGCCGTTAGATGTTTCTGACACGTGCTGGTGCTGAGCTGGAGAAAAGTGCATCATGTTTCCTAAAGCCAGGGGGATGCGTTTTGTTTCTTATGGTGTCGATGAGCAGGCGCTAAAAATGGAATAGTTCTATTAAGTAAGTAAGTTAGACCTAATTATAGTAATTCTTGGAAGGTTGGTGTTTTAAGGAATTTTATTTTGAAAACTCTTCCACCCACTGCAATAGCACAGTTACAGAGTGCTGAACTGGGATGTTGAGATTTGGGATCCAGCAGCCGTGCAGCTTATAAAACGCACTTAGAGCTCAGGATTGTTTTGCGTGAGGCTGTTCTTACCATCACAGGTTCTTCTGCTTCTTGGTGCTGAGTAGACTACTTAAGTTTTACCCACCACATAAGTTATTTTCTTTTTCCTTTGGCCATTTAGTCTGCACTGTCTGAGAGAAGTTTAAAAAGCAGAAATTAATAATACCTTTTAAGTGACACATAACTCTGCAGACTTCATCAACCATGAAGCATTTGCACCAGGGTTACCTAGGGACTGTGGAACTGACGCATGAAGTGCTCTGAAGTTAAGAAACTTTATGTTGTATGTGTCTGTCTGTCTATCTCTCTCTCTCTCTCTCTCTTTTTTTCTGTGAAATGTCCCACCAGGTCTGTCTAGCCATGGGCCCCAGGTGACTCAGGATAGCTATGACTGTGACCTAACCCAAAATCATAAACTTAATTAGTATGTTATGCAGTGTGTGTGTGTGTGTGTGTGTGTGTGTGATCTTTTTTCTTTATTACGTTGATTCCGTAGTTTTTTGTTTTGTTGTTGTTGTTTGGGACACAGTTTCTTCAGTAGTCCTGACTGTTCTGGAACTCACTCTGTAGATCCAGTGACCTTGAACTCAGAGTTCCACCTACCTCTGCCTCCTGAGTGCTGGTATTAAAGGTATGTGCCACCAGTGGTTCTTGTGAATTTTGTAGATGACTGTGTTGTGTCACATGTCAAAAGGTTGGCATGGGTGTAAGCATTATTTACATTTTCAGTGAGGTCCATGACCACAGGTCTGTTATTTGGAGGAATAGCAATGTCTTGGAGAAACTAGGAAGTCCCATACTGTCATGCTGTTTGCATCTAATATCTGCACACAAGTTGTACCATCTTTTCATAGGCATGGCACTTTTCCAGTTGAGTTCAAATTATTCTTACCCCCGAGTCTTTGCTTTTCTAGGTTTATTGTTGAAAACCTATTATGTAGTCTCATGGCTGTCCCCAGCTCTGTGCCAAACCTTTTGTTCCCTTGAGTTCTAGCCCTTTGCCTTGCACTGACCATATTATCCATTAGGCCTCAGTTCTGGCAGTATGCTATGGCTTGAGTCCTTGGAGCCTTCTGTATGCTTCAGGGAAAGCCATAGCATGGGTACAGTAAAGACTCAAGGGGCAGTGAGGTGGCTCAGCAGGTAAAAAAGAGCCTGCCTTAAAGCTTGGCAACCTGAGTTGATTCCACATAAAGGTGGAAGGGGGAAACTGACCCCATAGAATTAGTTGTCCTTTATTCTGCACAGACATGCCCGACAGCAGCAGCGGCAGCAGTGATAAAGACTTAGGAGTCCTGTGTTAAACCTGATAAACTTTGTTCAACCCAGCAAACTTTAAGCTTAG